CCAGGGTTTCCCAGCCTTTTGCCAACCCTTGGCACTGGGAGCCCCACACTGGGCAGTGCTGAGGGCAGTGCTGCCCCCTCCCCACCACCACAGAGAGCCCCCACATTGATTAGTGCCTGCTGCTCCCTTCACACAGCAGCAGAACCTGTTTCAGTGACATTTCTCTGTGCCTCACGAAGGTCTGTGTCCCCTGCTGTACACACACAGGACAGCACTGCACTGATATTCCCGGCTGGAATCTGCCTCACCAGCCCCTGGGATGATCATTCCCGGTCCTGCCTCGCTGCCCTCCGTTCCACCCCGAGCACACAGGTTCCAGCCTGGGGCAGGGCTGCCAGGGCTCCCAGGGACAGACAGTGCCATGTCCCAGCTCACCTGTCCCTCTGCCAGGGGACTCTGCCCTCGCCCCAAAGAATCCCAGACTGGTTTGGGTTGGAAGGGACCTCAGAGGCCATCCAGTGCCCCCCTGCCATGGCAGGGACAGCTCCCACTGTCCCAGGAGCTCCAGCCCCAGTGTCCAGCCTGGCCTTGGGCACTGCCAGGGATCCAGGGGCAGCCCCAGCTGCTCTGTGCCAGGGCCTCACCTCCCTCACAGCCAAGAATTTCTCCCTAGCGTCTAACCAAAATCTCCCCTCCCTCATTTTAAAGTCTCTCTCCCTTGTCCTATCACAACAGGTCCTGCTAAAGGTTGTGTTTTACTGTCTCCATGGACACTGGTGCCCACGCTGGTGCCCAAGGGTAGTGCTGGGGGAGCACAAAGGTGTGAGATCTCCTGAAAACTGCCGGTATGGATAATTAAAATAAGTCCCAAACACGTGAAATTCTGTTCAGTGACTCAGTCCACACACTCCCCCGCTGCTCCCACACACCTGCTGATGCTCAGGCAGAAATTAAGCACTTACGGATTTTTCATGCTTTGTATTTAGGGCTCCACATTTTCTCTCTCTTTCTGCTCATCTGAGGACACCCCCAGCATGACAGGGGGTTTGGGAGCCCACTGAGGTGTCTCTGGCTGCCCTGGCCAACCTGGAACCCCGAAAGCTCGGTGCCAGTGAGTGACAAGGCACAGGGACTGCTCTCCTGCAGGGAACAGCCCGGCTTTCCTTTCCAAGGAGGGGTGCACGGGAACCCCCACACCCCCAGACCCCGAGACCCTCCCCCAAACTCCCCCATGTCCTACAGGGAAGCCAGGCTGGTGCATTCCAGCACTGTGGGAGAAGGGATGTGTGCAGGCCAGCCCTGTGCCTAGCCTGGGGTAAAACAGCTCTGAGTTCACCCTGTCCACAGAGCCGTGGGCGTGAGGAAGGAGGCTCGTGCTGCTCTTGGTGTGCAGTGATGCTGGGCCCAGCCTGACTGACTGATCCCAAAGCTAAACATTCCTAGTGAGGGTGTGCAGGACAATGTTCCCTGACAGAATCCAGCACCTTCACACCAGTGAAGATGTGGCAAGGCTCCTGACAGAGGAACCAACCAGTCAGGGTGGTGGTGACTTACCTCCCTGCACAGCCCTGGGGACACGTGTCCAGGGACAGCCAGGCTGAGTGGGGAACCAGGAGGAGGAAAAGGAACGAGAGACTAAGCTGGGATGGAGGTGAGGGAGACAAGATGAGGCTGGCAGGGGAAGGTGCCCAGAGGGTCCCTGCAGCCCGAGGGGAGCTGGGGCCCAGGGCCCATCCCTGCCCTGAACAAACCAGTGCTCAGCAGACAACCTGACAAATTTGGTTTAACTGTTTTGATGTAATAATGTAATTAGGTAAAAGGGTTCAGCAACCAATTGCATTTCACTAATTTCAACCATCTGCTTCAACACTTGTTCTATGTGTGCCAGACTTCAGTGTCTTTGCTCTAATAGTAATTAATGAAACTGTTAATAAGCTACATATATCATACTATGCTGCAATAATTTATCAAAGGATAATGTTATGAGACAAATTCTATATAACAATTATAGAAAATGGCTTACATTACTGATGCTGCACACTGCTCACTAGTTTCTTTACTCTTCCCTTCTTAATGAATTCCCTAATTAATTTAATGCATACGTTATGCATAATTTGAAATTTAAAAACATGGCTGGGTCAGGTTTTAACCATCCTCTTTTACATGCTGTCTGCTTCTACAAGACACATATTAGCCAAACATGACCTCTGTGTAAATGAGGGTGCCCGCCGCTGTTCCCGTTCCCGGTGACGACAGCGGCGCTGCTCTGTGCCACGGCACACCGAGTGCCAGCACATTCACCAGAGCACGGCAGCCAGAGGCACTAGCTCCAACAAAACCCAAACACCAGCAGCTACTCCAGCCTCTGATTGTGTGACCAGCCCTGTTTTGGGGAGAGCTGCCTCACTCACACATCGTGCAAACACCCATCCAACACCGGGGCCTCGCTGCCGTCACCCGGCCTGGGATAGCGAGCTCAGCTTCAAAATCCAGAAACCTTCCAAAATAGAAATGCAAACTTTAGTTTTAGTCTCTTTTAGTCTTTTAGTCTCTTCATCTGAAGATTTTTAAGCATCTGGCACAAAATTGCCCAGCATTTCCCAGGTTTCTGCCTCTACAGCTTTGGGGTTTTCCTGCAGAACATGACCACAAACTCTTCTTGAATAGTTTCCATTTTCATTCCCATCTGATTGGGTGGAGACTTCCAGAACACCACCAAAAACCCCAGAGGAACAAGGTACCCCAGCTTTAGTGTTTCCTTCAGTGGAAGGTGTCCCTGCCCATGGCAGGGTGTGGAACTGGATGAGCTTTAAGGTCCCTTCCAACCCAAACCATTCTGAGATTCTTGTGCTGCATAGAAGAAATACAATTTACCAAGTGAACCAGCCTTTAGCAAGAGATCATTCCCTCATGAGTTCTCTTTGGGCAATATATTATTTACATTGCTAAAATATTAGTGAGTTATATTAACATTTCCTTATCTTCTGGGACACTTCTGGCTGGAAAAGTGTTGAGTTTTCATCTTCAAGCGAGCTTGCTTCCATGCTTTTCCATCTGACACGTCAGATTATTTTAATGATGGAGTACTTGATTAAATTAATTCCTCCCTACAAAAGCAGCTGTCTTGTGTCATGGAATCTGTTCATCTATCTGGAACATTTGTACTTGCCAGGGAGGAGAGCCAAAGCGCAGTGTGGGGAGGGAGTGCCTGACCATACCGAGACGGCGACGACTTTGTCACAACGCGTAAAGCTGAAGCTCAGAGGGACGTCTGGGTCTCCCCTGCCCCGCCAGGGCTGGATCTCGTGCCCAGGGATTAGGGAAGAGGCTGCTGGCCAGCCCCACTGGCAGAGGAGCACACTTGCAGCAGCTCCAGGACCGGCCACATGCGCCGTGTCCCTGTGTCCCCATGCAGGTGCTGAGCCCTGAAACACCCCAGGGTGCCACAGCAGGGCCCAGCAGTGGGCACCCCACCGTGCCTGAGGGAGGGTCAGCATCAGCAAGGGGAAAAAAACAAATGAAAATGGAAAATTGTGCCAGCATGGTGAATGAAGCACAGACCGCGTGCCTCAAACTTTTATTTCTAAACAAACGGAATTGTTCCATTTAAGTTCATCTCTTGCTTACTCCCAAGCTGCTGCTCATTCTTTTTCTCTTTAGACAGTTTTTGCAATCTTATCATTCCCTCCCTCTCACTAAGAGTCCTCAAGCACCATCCACACATGCAAATCCTCCAAAATCAGAACCTCCTGCCACGTGTGAAGGTTTTTGCTTGGCAAAGAAAAGCCTTGGAAAAACAACAGGATGGCCATTTCCTTTGTTTTCCATTGCACAATGTAACCATAGGCTGGGTTTTGATAGTACTAATTTTTTTGAAGTATGAATATTAATATAACTTTTTCCACTTATCTCTTTTCAATATTCATATGCACTACAGTAGGGTTGGAGCCCTTTATTTAACAAAATCTCCAGCTTTGGGACTTGGGATACAGTGCACCGCTATTAAATTTATCAATACCAGAGAACTTTAAGAGTTTAAGGTAATTTTAATAAAGCTGTAAAATACTCCATTGCTACAGGCACACAGGCCAGGCTCCATGGGTCTGACTGGGGTGTTCTTAGGATGCCCTGCAGAGCCCACCTGAGCCCTGCCAGGCTGGAGTACCTGGGGCAGGCAGGCAGCCCCAGCCCCCAGCTGCCAGCACGGCCAGGACAGGACAGACAGGACAGACAGGACAGACAGGACAGACAGGACAGACAGCAGAGCTGGCACTGCCAGCACAGCCAGCATGGCCAGAGCAGCCACAACAGCCTGAACAGCCACCACAGCCAGTGCAGCCTGGACAGCCAGCACGTGTGGCACAGCTGGCACAGCCAGCACAGCTGGCACAGCCAGGACAGCCAGACAGTCAGCACTGCCAGCAAAGCCTGTCACGTCCCAGCCTGCGCTCCAGGGCCGGAGCAGGGGCAGGGGCAGGAGCAGGAGCAGGAGCAGGAGCAGGAGCAGGAGCAGGGGCAGGAGCAGGGACAGGAGCAGGAGCAGGAGGGTGGATCCTCTGATTCCTTTCTTGGCGTTCTCCGGCTCAGCCCACCGGACGCTGCCGTGGTTCGCCAGCGTGGCTCCCGTGCCCTGTAATTGAGAGGGATGTGGAACACACCCACGTCCTCAGCAGCGGCTCAACCGCGGACTGCCGAGCCAGCTGCCACGTGGAGCAGGGACACGCACGGCTCCCCCGAGACACGGCCCCTCTGCCCCCGGTGGGGACCCCCGGGACACAGCCCCGCTCCCTCTCAGTGCCCCGAGCTACAGCACCCATCCCGGGATGTGTCCCGAGCTACAGCACCCATCCCGGGATGTGCCCGAGCTACAGCACCCATCCCCGGGATGTGTCCCCGGAGGCACAGCCCCGCTCCCCCCGGGATGTCCCCGGGGCCGGGCGGGTCCCCGGTTCGGGTTCCAGCGCGGGCGGGTCCCGGCTCGGGGCGGGGGCAGCCGTGTCCCGGTGCCGGCCCCGTTCCGCCCCCGCTCCGCTGGCCCGGGGCTCCGGCTCCCGGCCGGGATGAGCGGGCTGCGGCGGCTGTTCCGCGGCAGCGGCCGGGCCCTGGCCCTCGTGTTCGCCGCCTCGGTGGCCTGGCTGCTGCTCGACATGGCCGCGCTCCGCCTCTCGCTCGGCGAGGCGGGCGGGCGGCTGCTGCGGGAGGCGGCGGGGCTGGCACCGGGGCCGGGGCCGGGGTTGCGGCCGGGGTTGGGGTTGGGGCGGCCCCGGCGAGGCCCCGAGGCTCCAGCGGGGGATGCGGGGGCAGCCCCGGCCCCGGCGGCATCGCCGCCCCCCCGGCAGCGGCCCGGGCCCGGCGGGACGGGCGCGGAGCTCCTCGGAGCCCACGGGAGCGAGCAGCGCCCCTCCGGCACCGCGGCACCGAGCGGCCGGGCAGCCCAGCCCGGAGCGCAGGAAACAAACACGGGACGGGAGGAAACTCCCTCCAAAACTCGCTTCATCCTCATCAGCAAAGACGGGATGGACCTCGCCGGCCCCGCAGCCCCGCGCCGTGGGCCCCACTCTGCGGGAAACGCCACAAGGAGACGTGGAAAGCACAAGGAACTTGCTGACAAGAGCAGGGATGGTGCCCACGCCGCCACTGCCACTGCTGCGGCCACCGACATGGGTGGCAGGAGCCGGACGCTGGGTGCGACACCAAGAGCAGCTCCTGGAGGAGCGGGCACTGGCCAGGATGGGCAGGAGAGAGGGGCAGCAGCTCCTGGAGGAGCGGGCAGTGACAAGGATGGGCAGGAGCGAGGGGCAGCAGCTCCTGGAGGAGCGGGCACTGACAAGGATGGGCAGGAGAGAGGGGCAGCAGCTCCCGGAGGAGCGGGCACTGGCCAGGATGGGCAGGAGAGAGGGGCAGCAGCTCCTGGAGGAGCGGGCACTGGCCAGGATGGGCAGGAGAGAGCAGGGAGCAGCCCAGGGATGCACAAAGTCCTGTCCATGGATGCAACGCTCGCCCCGAGAGACCCCCGAGCTCCTGGCCAGTTTGGACACCCTGTTGCTGTCCCTGATGATAAACAAGAAGAAGCAAAAAGCAGATGGAAAGAAGGAAACTTTAATGTCTACCTCAGCGACCTGATCCCTGTGGATCGAGCCATCGCAGACACCAGGCCTGCCGGGTAAGATCTGCTCCCCCTGCACAAACCCCGGGCTGCCCCTGGGGATGGGCTCCGTGGCTCTGGGGAGGGCTGCTGGGGGCACACCGAGCCGTCAGCCCTGCTGCCTGGCAGATGGCTTTTGGCCAGGTCAGAGCAGCCTGTTGTTAAAGGTGAAACTGGGTAAGGTTTGTGGGTTGTTGCAGCCCCCTGAGCCCGGCTGCCCAGCGGGGCCAGGACACCCAGCCCGGGTGATGGGCTCAGGCCTCTCTCTGTGCCCGGGAACGCCGAGCAGCAGTGTCAGGCACAGCTCTGAGCATTCACAGTTCGTGTGTTGGTTCCTGGAGCCTGCACCCCGTGCCTGTGTGAGGGCAGCAGGAGCCCCCCTGCCCGGAGGGGCTCTCGCACCCCAGGCTGCCGTGGCCCTTCCCGGGAGGAAGGGACACAAGGGACCCTCCCGGCCAGGGACCTGCTCCACAAAGCCCCGCAGGAGCTGAGTGCTGGCACCGTCCAGCAGGCACAGGCTGGGGGGCTCTGCTCTGTGGGCACACGCAGGGAGGGCTGTGCTGTTTGGGCTTGGAAAACCCACACAGCTACAGCTGTCATTAAATGTGTAACTGGTCCTGCACATCTCAGGACTGCGCTGAGAGAAAGTCTCTCCCTGCCAGTAGAGAAGAGCAGGACGAGGTGAGGGCAGTGCCTCGGCAGCAGAACAGGCTGTGAGCCCCATCCTGAGCTGCCGTGCCAGGCGGGCTCGGCACTGCTGCCTTGGTGCTCGTATTTGATGACCTTAAAGCTCTTTTTCAACCTAAGCCATTCTGTGACTGCTGCAGGGAGGGCAGGGAAGGTGCCAGCTCAGGTGAGGGCCAGGTTCATCTCTCGCTCTCAGCCCTCCCTACGGACATCCTCAGCCCCTGGGCAGGTGGGACCTGCCCCGTGCAGAGACCCTCGCGTGTCCCCACGCCCACAGACCATGGGTACTGCGGGCTGGGAGTTGTGCTGTGCTTGTCCCCCGTGGCACAGGGCACTGCAGACACTCCCACCGTGCCAGGGGTGCTTGCTGAGGTCAGATCCTGCCCAGGAGGAGTGGAGCAGGGACAGGGGGACACAGCTGGGGCTGCTTCCTGATGCCTCCTTCAGAAGCCACCTCTGTGTGCAGAGGAGCAGAGCCATGGCACAAAGCCAGCACTGGGCTTGGTCTGGACACCAAACCCCGGAGCTGCAGAGCAGGAAGCACCTCCAGGGAGTGACACCTGCCCAGGAGGAGCTGCTTTGCCTTCACAGGGAACTCCTTGGGCAAACAGGGCACGTCCCTGGGCGTGTGAGCTGCTGCCACGGGGCACAGAGCTGCCCTGGGCACTCTGGTTCTGGCAGGAGCCTGTGCTGGTTCTGTCCCAGGCACTCTGGTTCTGGCAGGAGCCTGTGCAGGTTCTGCCCTGGCCCATTGGCACAACAGATACCAGCTTGTCAGGGCCAGCTCAGGGCAGTGGCTGTTGGCAGATCTTGGCAGCCAACAATTATTTTTTGGCGTATTCCAGTGTCTCCCAGTTTAGACTCCAGTTCCTGTTGTGATTCTTCCTGGAGCACTGGGCTAGACCACTGAAATGGGGCCAATCCATGCACAATGCTCGCTGCTTTTGGAGCTTTACTGACAGTGCTGGTGCCCACAGGAGCTGTGTCTCTGCAGCTGGTGTGAGGGACAGCGCCCTGAGGAGGAGTGTGACGGGCAGGAGGCTTGTGGGGAGTGCTCTGTGCAGAGCCCAGATCAGGAGCCCTGGGGCTGAAGGGAAGAGAAAGCTCCAGGGTGACCTTGGAGCCCCTTCCAGTGCATAAGGGGGCTCCAAGAGAGAAGGAGAGTGACTCTGGACAAGGGCTGGAGTGCCGGGACAAGGAGCAGCGGTTTCCCACTGCCAGGGGCAGGGACAGATGGGACACTGGCAGGGAATCCGAGGGAATCCTTCCCTGGAGGCTGGGCAGGCCCTGGCACAGGGTGCCCAGAGAAGTTGTGGCTGCCCCATCCTGGGAAGTGTCCAAGGCCAGGTTGGACAGGGTTCTGAGCAACCTGGGACAGTGGAAAGTGTCTGTGGGAGTGGTTGGAAGGAGATGGGCTTTAAGTTCCCTCCCAACCCAAACTATTCCAGGATTCTCTAGTGAAGGACAAAGGGGGCGTGACCCGGTTCTGCTCACCAGCTGCCCAGCAAGGTGAGGCAGGACTGGGTCCAAAATGGACTTTTTGGCATTTTCTGCCTGCTGACCTCCCTGAGACAGAAAGACACATCTCAAGGATTGTGACACAGTAATTCTGGGGTGAGTTTCACATTGCCAGAGCACTTCTGATTATCTTCTGAAACATCTTTAACTTTCCTTCAGAAGAGGTTCCTGTGGGAGCCAAGTGAGCACAGTGCAATGGGGCTGCCCATGAGAGAGGCCCTGGGGCTGGTGTGGGGCTCCCCCCTCACCCCTCAGTTCCCCTCCCAACACTGCAGGGCTTTCCCTCCATATTTCACCTTGGGCATTTTCCCAGAAGCACCAAGCCTGCAGATTTTCGGGAGTGGCACCTGGGAGCCCGTGTTGCTGTTGCAGGTGCTCAGAGCAGCAGGTCCACGACGACCTCCCCACCACCAGCATCATCATGTGCTTCGTGGATGAGGTGTGGTCCACCCTCCTGCGCTCCGTGCACAGCGTCCTCAGCCGCTCTCCTCCTCACCTGATCGAGGAGATCATTCTGGTGGATGACTTCAGCACTAAAGGTAGGTGAAGCCTTTATGAAACTCATATAACTTGAGGGCACAATGCAATTTGTTCTCTGTAATTCAATTCTAAGTAGGAGAGAAATCACATTTTCTCCTTCCGCTGTACTGAAGTGCATCCCTGGCCTGCGCTGGGGCTGAGGGGGAGAAGAGGACAGGGGGTGCTGGGGCTGGCTGTGGGGGGTGAAGGCAGAGGCTCCAGGAGCACCAGGAGCTGGGTCCTGCCCAGCCCATTCATCTTTGGGGCGTGCTGGCTCAAGGGTTTGTGCAGTCAGGAGATGCTCTCAGCCCTCAGTGTGCGTGGCTGGTGTTCCCAGTGTGGGGGACACACTCCGGGGTGGCTCAGAGCACAGGAGCTGCAGTGGGAGCAGTGGTGAGGTGGGATCTGATCTGCAGGGGGCCTCCCGTGGGCATTTCAGCTGGTACCCAACCCCTGCAGTCCCTTGCTTCTCTCTGCTGAGTTCAGCCCATAAAGATGCAGGGATGATGCGATTTCCCCACTGCCGGCTCTCCAGGAGAAGTGCTGGCTCGGATGGGCTGCACAAGGAGAGCCCCGTGCCCAGATGTTCACACCCCACAGCTGAGGGCCTGGCGTGCCTGCAGGCGCTGCCAGGGGAATCTGCTGGTGGCTTTTCAGCGGCTGGCAGTGGGTGAGTGAGCCGGCTGTGTCCCCTGAGCAGAGTACCTGCGGGAGCAGCTGGACACCTACATGTCGCGGTTCCCGAAGGTGAGGATCCTGCGCCTCAGGGAGAGGCACGGGCTGATCCGGGCCAGGCTGGCGGGAGCCGAGATCGCCAAAGGTAGGACAGGAGCCGTGCTCCGGCCGTGTGGGGACCCCAGAGCGCCGGGCATCCCTCTCCAGGGCCGTGTTTGTCCCTCCCAATGCACCGAGGGTGGCCTTTCACCGGGACCTCCAGCCCCAGCTCCTCCAGCTGCCCCGGCCGGGCTGTGTCGGCACCGAAATGCCGTTCCTGGCTGGAGCTGCCCTGCCAGGCCGGGGAAAACGCTCTTGGCCGTGGCTGGGCAGGTCCGGGGAGCCGAGGAGGGCTGTGGCACAGTCAGCAGCACCCCGAGCCCGCAGGGTGCCCGGGGAGCTGCCCAGCAGGGCTGGGTTGGGGTCCCGAGGCTGACCCTCCCCACCCACCCTGCAGGCGCTGTCCTGACGTTCCTGGACTCGCACGTGGAGTGCAACGTGGGCTGGCTGGAGCCGCTGCTGGACAGGGTCCGCCTGCGCCGGACCAAGGTGGCCTGCCCCGTCATCGAGGTCATCAGCGACAAGGACATGAGGTGAGGCAGCTCATCCCTGCCAATCCCACGGTCCAGGCTGGTGTCCTGAGCAAAACCCGCCCGGCACCGCCGCTGGATTCGCTACAGGAGCGGATCCGTGACTCCAGACCCCTGAGCGGATCCAGAGCTCCCACAGGGGACACAGAACATTGCTGTGCACCAGAAATTAACATTTGCTGTGGATGTGGCCCGTGTTTATCACACACCGTTTCGCTTTTTCACAGCTTTTAGTACATGAAGATGGTTCCTGATGAAATTTGTTAAAATCCTGGTGTAATTACCTACAGATACTCATCTTCACTCATTAGGGGTGACATTTCAATCAGGAATGTGACTCAGAATTAGTCAGCCCCATCTTTTCTCTCTTTAGTTACATGACCGTGGACAACTTCCAGCGTGGGATTTTCACTTGGCCGATGAATTTTGGATGGAGGCAGATTCCACAAGAGGTCATAGAGAAAAATAAAATCAAGGAGACTGATATTATAAGGTAAAAAACCAACAAATGCGAGAGCTTTGCAAACCAGCCTGTTCCTCTGGTAATAACTTAGCAGCAAAGGCTCCTTCGAGGCCAAATGTTGTTCTTCTGTGGCCAGGTATTGTTCTGGTGCTTTCCAGGACAGCTGAGGCACAGGCAGGCCCCCATCAGGCATGGGCAAAGCCCAGGAAGCCTTTCTCCCCACGCATGGCACTGCTGGTGTGTCAGCCAGGAGAACATTCTGCTGCCTCTTCCCCTTCCCTGCCCCATTTCAGCTTTCAGGCCCCCCAGGTGCCCTCTGTGGCACTGCCGCTGTCACACCGTGTGGCCTGTCTGTTCCCAGGTGCCCCGTCATGGCAGGTGGCCTGTTCTCCATCCACAAGCAGTACTTCTTTGAGCTGGGAATGTACGACCCGGGACTGGATGTCTGGGGAGGGGAAAATATGGAGATTTCATTCAAGGTGGGTCGGTGTCACACACCTGCACCCCTGCCAGCCTGGGTGAGTGATGGGGCTGAGGCAGGGGCTCCCCAGGGCTGGACACCCCATCTCCCTGGGCACCCGACCTTCTGCTGCTCTCCCGGCTGCACAAAGCCAGCGCCCCCATCAGCTGCTGTCTCTGCCAGCGGCCTCTGTTTCGCAGGTCTGGATGTGCGGAGGAGAGATCGAGATCGTTCCGTGCTCCCGGGTGGGGCACATTTTCAGGAATGACAATCCTTACTCCTTCCCTAAAGACCGGGTGAGGACGGTGGAGCGGAACCTGGCCCGCGTGGCAGAGGTGTGGCTGGACGAGTACAAGGAGCTGTTCTACGGCCATGCCTACCACCTGCTCCTGGGCAACGTGGATGTCGGAGACCTGAGCCAGCAAATCCAGCTGCGCAAGAAGCTCCGCTGCAAAAGCTTCCGCTGGTACCTGGAGAACGTCTACCCGGACCTGGAAGCTCCCCTGGTTAAAGCCAGCGGGCTGGTGCGTCCCCAGGGGTGTCACTGTTCTCTGGGGTGGCTGTGCCCGGGCAGCCCCCCGTGCTGCGCAGCTCCCTGGCCCTGGCAGCACTGTGGATGTTCGATCGGGCACAGATCTGGATTCCAGAGCATTCTTACAAAGAAACGGGTCCAGGCAGCAGGGGTGACTTCCCTCTGTAGGGCGGGGTGTTTGGATGGCTGAGCAGGGCACAGTGCCGGGACAGGATGTGGCCCTGGGGCAGGATGGGCACCGGGGCTGGACGTGCCCTCGGGGTGAGAATTCCCACATCGGGATCCCGGGGGATCCCAGGGGATCCTGCCCTCGCTCCCTGCCCCAGCTCGGGGGGTGGAGTGCAGAGCGGGGTCTGTAGGGTCAGGCTCTGTAGGGACAGGGTCTGTAGGGTCAGAGTCTGTAGATGCAGGGTCTATAGGGTCAGGGTCAATAGAGTCTGGGTCTATAGGGTCGGGCTCTGTAGGGTCGGGCTCTGTAGGTACCGGGTCTGTAGGTTCAGGGTCTGTAGGGTCAAGGTCTATAGGGTCGGGCTCTTTAGGGTCGGACTCTGTAGGTTCAGGGTCTGTAGGGTCAAGGTCTATAGGGTCGGACTCTGTAGGGTCGGGCTCTGTAGGGTCGGGCTCTGTAGCACGGCTCTGCCGCCAGCAGAGCGCAGCAGCCGCTCGCGTTGCCGGGGCCGGGAGGAGGGACCGGTGCGCTCCGGGCACGGAACCTGCGCCTCGCCGGGGGCAGCGGGCAGAGAACACTTTAAAGTCGCTTTGGATTCAGTGCTGCCTCCACAAGCCCCTGGTGGGAGAAACCGGGTCAGGCTCCTCTTCTCCAGCACAGAATTCCAGAATGGTTTAGGTGGAAGGGGACCTTAAAACTCAGCTTCTTCCATCCCCTGCCAAGGGCTGGGACACCTTTCACTAGCCCACCTTGCTCCGAGCCCCGTCCAGCCTGGCCTGGAACACTTTTCCGCCTCCTTTAGTTATGTGAGCAGTATTAAACAGAGTCCTGTGAACCCAGCAGGTCCGGTGCAGTGTAACATCCTCCCCCCTTCTCGGGAATTTCTGTCTAAACGCGCGTTTTGTTGCTGTTTCCCAGCTCGTTAACGCGGCCCTGGCAGGGTGCATCGCTGTGGAAGGCACCGGCCTGGCTTTTGAGGAGTGTGATGTTAACAACACGGTAAGGACAGCCCGTGTGTCACCCTGCCCGTGGTGCTGTGCCTGCCCCAGGTCACCTGTCCCCTCCCCGGGGGTGGCACTGCCCTTCCCAGCCGGGGACACGGCCAGGCCATGCTGGCACAGCCAAGCAGCAGTGTCAGAAGCAGCAAATTCGGCCGGTTTCCTTTGATGGAGCTGTGAGTTTGCACGTGAAAACAGAGGGGCATTTAAGTACCAGCCTGTGATCTGTGTGCAGACGCTGAACTTCCAGCTTATAGCCTCGGCTATAAGTGCCTCGGCTCCAAGAGGGCCAGAGAACCACCCAGAGGGACGGGACACAGGGAATGGCTTCCCACTGCCAGAGGACAGGGATGGATGGGATTTTGGGGAGGAATCCCTGGCTGGGAGGCTGCTGGAGCCCTGGCACAGGGTGCCCAGAGAAGCCCTGCCATGGAGCCTGACGGGGCCGTGTCTCTTCCTGCTGTCTCCCCACAGAACCAGAAGTTCAACTACACCTGGCTGAGGCTGATCCAGCACGGAGAGCTCTGCCTTGCCCCGTCTGGCGTCGTGGGAGCCGTGGGCCTGCGCCGCTGCCAGCCCAGGAGCCGCAGCCTGGCCTGGCTCCACAAGTCACTGGCCACCGTGCAGCCGGGGCTGGTGAGTGATGCTGCAGCGCTCAGCACTGCAGGGTGCAGGGTGCAGGATGAGAGTGCAGGGTGCAGGGTGCAGGGTGCAGGGTGCAGGGTGCAGGGTGCAGGGTGCAGGATGCAGCAGGGTGCAGGGTGCAGGGTGCAGGGTGCAGGATGCAGGATGAGAGTGCAGGGTGCAGGGTGCAGGATGAGAGTGCAGGATGCAGGGTGCAGGATGCAGCAGGGTGCAGGCTGCAGGCTGCAGGCTGCAGGCTGCAGGCTGCAGGATGGGTCAGGGATTGCCCCCACCCTCCAGGACGTGGGGCAGTGTGCCAGGACAGCCCTGGCAGGGGGACAGCCCGGCCCGGGGGTCCCCCACCCCCTGCTGCCCCCTTTGCCAAGGCCACCTGTCCTGGAGATGCGCTGGTGCCCCTCGTGCCCCTCTGCCAGGGGTTGTGCCCAGCATCCCGGCACGGCTGCAGCCCGGGGACACCGGGGACGTGGCAGGCACTGCTGCTGCAGCCACAAAGCAGCCTGGTTACACTCAGAAACCGTCAATAGCACTTAAAGGAAGATAAGTCAGCATCGACTGGCTCTCAGCTCACAGGGGCTTTTAAAGAGAGCAGGTATGGAAAGGAAAAGAATGGATACTTACACTAATTGCCTGCTCTGCACAAAGAGTCATGGCTGTACCTCCGTCTGCCTGGTGTAAGTAGCTGTCCAAAATGCTCGGAAATAGCATAGTTCATTGTTGAGAAAAAAACACTCTTCACTTAAGAAAGAAAAAATGTAGTTGAATTACACATCCAATATAAAGACAATTTCCTGTTCCCCTTTGGTTTTTTCAGCCTAAGGTGTTGAATACCAGAATGCCACAGGCTCACCTTGGGTGTTTAGGGAAAAATACAGGAAAATTTTTATCCACTTAGTGAAAATTGTGAAATTGTCATTTCACTTTGTGAAAAATATGCAGAAATGCCCAGGGAGGTGTGTGGGGCACGGGCAGGTCTTGTCTCCTGTTCCAGCCTGATTCCTCAGCTGAAGGTGGATGGATTTAGTGCTCTTTTACTGGTGCCAGCAGCAGGAGCATGAGGAGAGCTCAGTGGCTGCTGCCTGAAGGAGTTGCAGGGCTCTATCCCCACGGTGTGAAGCGCAGTTCCTGCAGCACAAAGGTGCAGCTGCTGCCCCTGCACACATCCCTGGGGAGTGTTCCACCTCGGCCTGCTCTCCTGGGATCACTGCAGGGCGAGCAGCAGCACAGACACGTCCCAGCATCGCCTGGCTGCCCTCGGGGTGAGGGAGGGCAATCCAAGCAGGTGTGGAGAGCAGAAGGATGGAGGTCACTCACACCCTTCGTTCTTCCTCAGCCCAGTGTCCTGCCCAGCACTCGAGCTCCGGGGCTGGGTTCCCCTTCTTCATTGCAGCAGCTGCTGAGTTCATGAGCCAGCAAACTGAGACAGAGATCAGTGTCCTGCTGGACATTGCCTGTGAAGCAAATCCCACCCAGCGACTCCCCACATGGCAATTGCCACACGGACAGTGAGGGAGCTCATCTCTCTGCTCCCAGAGAAGGAAAACCCAGGAGCCACAGCAGCTGTGCTGTGATCCTGGCTCAGCAGCAGCTGCAGGCTCGGATCCCACGCCAAAGCCCCTGTAAGTCAGCAGAGATGTCTCAGGTAGTGGGGACAAGCCACAAAAGGGCACACCGTAAGGAGCTGGGCTTTCTCAGAGGGAGAGTGCAGCTGCTGCTGCTGCTACTGCAGGAGCCCTAAAGCCTGAACGCCCCCTAAGCCTCAGCCCCCAAAGCCCGGGCCCCCCTGAGCCCTCCTCTCTCTCCTGCAGACCGACCACATCATCTCGGAGCACCAGCACCTCCCGCAGCCCTGCCTGGAAGTGGATCCCTCGTACAGAGCCCTGCGGCTGAAGGCCTGTGACCCCACAAACCCCCACCAGAAGTGGCACTTTGGCAGGTACCACGCGGACTGAGGGCAGCCCAGCTGCTGTCCCCATGCTGTCACCGTGGGCTCAGCGAGGACATGGGTGTGGCTGATGGCAGCCACCAAACGGGGAGTGCATTTCCAAAGGAGAACCGACACCCGTGATTTGGTACCGGCGCACGGAGGATCCGAACACCGGGAGCAGCACGTCGGCTGTGACAGTGCCACAACAGATCAGGGCCATTCTCCCTCCCCGTAGGAGACTTTGGGAAAAACTCCTTTTCTCTGTGCTTAAATGGAAATATTTTTTGAAGTCCCCATCCTACTGTAAGCAAACATCCCTCAGTTCCCCTGGACAGCAGCATAAGCTCCAGAAACACTTCCAGGGCCCCAGAAGTCCGTAAGCAGCAAACTGGGCTGCTAATTCCTCTACAGAAACTGGAATTTCGTTGACCAATGCATCAAAAAATCAAACACCATGTCCACAGTGGATCTGGCTGCAGGATGCCTCCCCATGGGACGTGTAGTGTGACAGGTGAGGATCAGGGCACTGTGAGGAATCAATTGCACACCAATAAAGCCCTCATTTTACAGTGGGAGGTGGATGGGGCCAGCCCCACCCAGGGGCTGCGGGAGAGGCCTGGAGCACTTCCCTGTGCCAGGGATGGCGAGGACACACGTGCCTTGCTTTGTTTGGTGCTGGAGCAGGGAACCAGAGGCTTATCCTGCTTCTTGCCAGAAGCACATTCCAGGGGCCAGCCTGGAAGCTCCTCATCCCAGGGCAGCCAGGTTGTCCCACCCTGGGGCTGCCAGGACCCCAGCCATGTCCCCGAGCCCCCGTGGCTTTCTGGGGGCTCTCCAGGAGCGGTGCTGCTCCCCTCAGCCCAGGCTGCACGGTACAGCCAGGCTCTGCGCACCAAACCCCTCTGGGCTCACTGCCACGGACAAGTGTTGTCTGTACTGTGAAGTTCTTCATCTCCAAAATCCATCACCGGTCACCAACGGGATGGATTTGATGGGAGAATAAACTCTGTGTGCCAAGGTTGTGAGACCCAGCCTACAGCAGGCAGGGTTTCTGCCCCTGTTCCCATTGGGAATTCCTGCTGTGGGATGCTGCTCCCTGTGCCCTGTGGGGCTGCAGTGGGAGGCAGCGCTCCTCCTCCTGCCCCTGCCCTGTGCTGAGCCAAGGGGCTGCTCCAGCACAAGCCCCTGTGTCCCTGGGCTGAGCAGGGCACTCACTGCTCACGGTGGGCACAGCCGAGCCCCCACCCGGCACAGCGCTGCCTCTGACCTGCTGGATCAGTGCTGACAGCATCTGACAGGCTCAGTCTGCCAAAATATTGACTGGCCCAACAGATTTTCCCAGTTGACTCCTATTCCAGCTGTCTTCCTGATTTTCTCTCCCTCCTTCAGCGCAGCTAGCCCGCAGTCACCATCAGAAAAATGACACAGCCGTTGTTTGGGCAGTCAGCTCGTATCAGGAGCATGGATTTCATCAAATTCTGTTTGCTGACATTCAATCACTTGTCACGGAGCAGGCGGCAGGCAGTCATATGTCACGGTCACATCCCATCGGCAGCCCTGTCACTCGCAGGCGCTGCCCCGCTCGTGTAAATGCTCAGTTCCCCGCTGGATCTTCGCTCAGGGACTGGGGGCTGCCCGGGGGCTGCTGGCACTGAGCTGGGGCCCTGCTGTTGCTCAGTTCTGAGAACATTCCCACGGCACCAGTCAGCCCAGTCTTCCAGAAACGAGAGCATTTTTGCTGCCGTGCCGCTGCTCGGGGCTCGGGCTGGGCTCCGCAGCCCGGGCTGTGGCTCCTGGAGCGGGGCACCAGGGCTGGAGCATCCCCTGAGCGGGGTGGGGACAGCAGTGCCTGATGGCCCCGGTGTCACATCGTTAAAAAACAAAAGGGACAATAAATGATAGTAGGTGACGCTGCTTCCCCTGAGCGCAGGGTGTTAAATCTGAGCAGCTCGGAGCCTCTCTAGGGGCTCCTCCCGAGTTCCTGCCCGGCTGAACCGTAAAGCATCGCCCCAGGGAGAGCCTTCCGAGCGGCACTTGCCCCGATGTGTGGCTCCTGGTGGGTGAGGGAAGGGCAGCGGCTGAGCTCTTGCCGCAGGTGTGGCAGCTGTCACCAGCACTGTCCCCTCTCCTGCTCTCACCTGCCCCGGCCCGCCCCCGGCTCGGCAGGAACGAGAACAAGCAGTTTCGGGCTGTGGCTGCCGTGGGCTCCTCAGCATCTGCCCGAGGGTGCCTCTGCTCCAGGGGCCGCGTTTCCAGCTCCGTGCCCGGCTCCTCCCGTGCGTGCCCGACCCCTGAGCACTGCCCGCAGGTCCAGCACCTCCCCTCTGCCCCTCCATCGCCCCGAACCCCACCGGGCTCACACCCACCGGGGGCTCGGCCCGGCTGGGAAGGGCTCTCAGGCCCCCCGAGCATCCCGGCACTTCCATTTTTTCACCTTTTCCACCCAGGAAAGCAGGAGAGGGCGCTGCGGCTCTCAGCACAGCAAGCGCTGCTTTGCAAGGAAGGCAAAAAGCGAGTCCGAGGTTCGGAAAGCCTTGGGGAGCCTTTCCCAGCGAGAGCTCAGGGGATGCTCTCAGAGACTGATAGAACCGGAGTGGCTCGGGTTGGAAGGGACCTCAAAGCTCCCCTCGTTCTGCCCCCTGCCATGGGCAGGGACACCTCGCACTGCCCCAGGAGCTCCCAGCCCTGAGCAGTGTGGCCCTGGCTGGGACCACCACGGGCTCCTCCAGAGGAACGTGTCACCCCAGAGCAGCTGTCAGCAGGAACAGACACACAGTATAAGTTGGTACCAGCAAAGCTCAGAACTTCCCCAGGCCAAGGAGCAAATAAACAAGTGTGAATGGCACAATGAGGGCTATGTCTGCTGGCACAATGCAGAATTGCCCTGTATTATTTTCACGTTGCCAATAAATAATTGCCTTTATGTAGAAGGAGAAAAGTCAAAGCGATATTCAGTGCTGCTGGAGATGTAAAACTAATCCTTAAAAAGGCACTTATGGCTGCAGGAGGCCACTGTACAACTCCATCCTTACCTCCTCTCCCTTGCCAGCTGTTCTCAGCTTTCCCAGATTTCTGGGATGACAAGTGCAAAGCTAAGTCCCAACTCCAGACAAATCTGACTGCAAAACAGTTTAAAAAGATTGCCACCACTGCATGGTCACCAAGGTCTTTTAAAGTGGAGAAGGGTAATATCCAGGTGAGATAAAAATAATGGATTAAAACTCACCTGCTTTTGACAAAATAATCGTTTAAATTTTGCGATTTTAGGATGAAAATCTAGCAGACACCTAAGGGACTCTGACTGGGTGGCACTGGGACAAGAGGTGTTCCTGGCAGTGGCCAGGCTCACCCAGGCACAGGCAGGGAGGTGCCAGGGCTGCCAGCCCAGAGCCCGGCTGTGCCCCTGGAGATGGCAGCGGTCACCGGTGCCACTGGCCCAAAGCCACCCAGGCTGGCAGCACGGCCAGCCAGCACCAGCAGCAGCGCCCACAGCTGCCCCTGCGCCTGGGGACATCCTCAGCAGAGGTGGGGACAGGCAGTGCTGGCACAGGGAGGCCGTCAGGGCACCGGCACAGACACACTGAGAGGCAGAGCAGGGGTGGCCAGCAGCCGTCCCCTCTGTGCCCCCTGCCCTGGCAGTGTCACCACTGCCACACGGCCAGCTCGTTACAGCACGGCTGGTGGCGTGGGACAGCCAGGGGAGCCCCAGCCAGCTTCAGCCTTCCCATGGCCTCAACACGGCTACAAAGGTACAGAGAAAATAAGAGAATAACCTTAAAATCCACTGGGTGTGTATTTAGCAAACTGATTATTTATTTTCCTGCGCTATGGATGCCTCTGCCCCGTCAAAGCCAAGATGTTAAATTTTCACAGTGTATTATAAATCATGTACAAAAAGAAGAAAAGCAGTGACCTTGTGTTGTGTGAAGAGACTGGTTTTGGGGGAGTAAAATCAAACCAAGCCCAGAGCAAAGGCTTGGTGCGTTAGGCTCTTCCCCCTCAGTTCATAAGTGCATCATGGACTCAAACTCGTCGATCCGCTGTTTGGTGTTTCCTTTACGGATCCTCCGGTAGGAGATTGTGTTGTATCTGGAGTAGCTGTGTCTGGAGATGTCGTTCTTTTTCCCCAGGCTGGGCTGCTCGGCCCCTTTCTCCATCGGGGAGTTGCAGCCGGGGCTGCCGGGGGGCGATGCTTGTTTGCCGCTGTCTCGCTGCTGCAGGCGGGGCGCCTCGCTCTTCTCCTTCTTCATTTCAATCACCTGGACTTCATCCTCTTCCGTGTCCTCCTCCTCCTCCTCCTCCTCCTCCTCGGCCTCCTCGGCCTCCTCGGCCGCATTCCCTCTGGGCTGGCCGCTGCCGGGCAGGGTCTCCGGCTCCTCCGTGCCGGGAGCGGCCGTGGCTGTCCCCGCTGTGCCACCCGGCCCTGCGCGACACGGGGGACACGGGGGGGCATGGGGGACATGGGGAGACACGGGGGACGTGGGGAGACACGGGGGACATGGGGAGACACGGGGGACATGGGGAGACAC